GTATACAATTTTTTAAAATAAACTCCAAAGTTTTATTTGAAAAACATACTCCAGAATATGATATTTTCATTAGAGGGCTCCTAAACCCAAATTAGCGCTGTAATTTCCTTCATAAGCAAAATGTTAGGCATCTTCCGCCGAATCACTATACATAACTTTATTTATTTCCCCCAAACATATTTATGTAGCTAAAATTAGTTTTAACTTTTAACATTAGTTAAAACTAATTTTATCTAAAATCAAAACATGTACAGCAGTAAATTAACTAGACAAAACGTGTTTTGTCTAGTTAAAACTAGAATTTACTGCTAGTCAAAAATGAATTTGAGTTAGAACTAGTTTTAGCTAGACAAAACGGGTTTTAACTAAAAACGTGTTTTGACTAACATATATATATTAATAGAATAAATTTTGTGTTTTGAGACAAGCTAATCCTGAGAAAAATGGGTTTTTGATGACAATATCTGTTATTGTAATAGCAGATTTCACTGTGTATACTATTAATTCTAAATGTAACAATTTTATAAAACATTAGAACTTGAATAAAAAATGTATTTGAAAATTGTTTTAAACATTTCAGATATTTTATACATATATATGTATGTAAAGTTTCTTCTTCTAGTCTTTCAATTCTCATCGTTAAACTGGAGTTTTCTCATAGCTTCTGTTCATTGGACAAGGTAATCAAAAACTTCTCCCCTTTCTTCTTGTTCCAAATGTGTTCTTTTGTTTCAGTTGTCACACTGGTTTTTAGGCACTGAGCTGTGCTTCTAGTTTTGGTGGTTTATCTTTACCTTTACACCCCCTACTTTGTAAATCCAAGAGTGGGCTGTTGTATAAACGTAACTTACATATATGGATGATGTCTAACAGGTTTCTTTTTTCCCCATTCTATTTCATATAAGATATTTGATACTTGTCTTATTACTTTATATGGGCCAGACATTAGGGGTTCTAATTTTTTTTGTGTGATTGCATTTTTATTTTCAACTAGTACTAGGTCCCCTGGGTTTATTATTATTTTCTAATGTCTGTTATCAAAATAATTCTTATTCACTTCATGCTTCCTTTGAATACTTTTGTAAGCCAATTTTTTAGCTTCTTCTACTGGAAGGAGAGCATTTAGTATGACTTGAAGGAAAGGTGGAATGTCAAATGAGATATTTTGGTGAAAAACCTGTTACTGAGTGAGGAGAGTTGTTATATTCCTTCATTACTATTTTTAGTAATTTACTCCAACAACTGATTCTGCTGATTTCATCCATTTTTCAGCACAACTGGGTCATGATAGTTTGGTTAATGCTTTCACATAAGCCATTACTTGCCAGATAATTGGAAGATATAAATGTTAATTTTATTTTTTGTTTTCATAGAAAATGTATGAATTCTTTTGAGTTAATTCCTGCATACCTGTCTGCCAATATCATTTTTGGTCTTTGTATTTGTATGATACCGTTTATTAAGTACATGAAGTCCTTGACAGTTTGAGTTCTGGAGCTTAATGTCCATAAATACCAAGTGGTGAAATCAATCACTAGATGCAAATGCTGTTTCTTTGAATTGTATTTCTTGAATCCTCCCACCGTAACAATTGCTATAACATCAAAAGGATCTGTGGCAGGGAGATGGAACAGTTCTCTGTACTTCCAACAACAGTTTATTTCATTAAACTGGCAGACCCCACAGTTTTTTTTACAAAAGTGGATACATCTTTTGACTTGTAAAGTTTCTTCTTCTAGTCTTTCAATTCCCATCATTAAACTTGGGAGTCTTCTTGTCTTGCCTCCTTCTCCAAAGCTTCTGTTCACTGATCAAGGTATCCAAAAACCTCTTCCCTTTCTTATTTTGTTCTTTTATTTCAGTCATCTTTCTTATTTTGTTCTTTTATTTCAAATGTGTTCTTTTATTTCAGTCATCAAACCAGTTTTTAGGCACTGAGCTATGCTTCTAGTTTGAGTGGTTTATCTTTACCTTTACATATATATTTAAAACACTAAAATACTTAGCTTAAACTTATCAGAAACATTTTTTATTTTTTCTGTCCAAAAAAACAAAAAACATCTTAACATGTGAGCAAAAACCATGGTGAGTGCACAAAGTTTAACTTATAGTTATTACCATCCTCAGATAAATAAGCATTTTGAAGCTTTTAGTACTACTTCTAACAACAGCTGGTATAAATTACTATATAATTGAAGTAAGGAAATGTTTACAATCTAAACTATTGTATTACAATAGTTTAGATGTTTACAAATGTTTACAATCTAAACTATTGTATTACAATAGTTTAGATTGTAAACATTTCTTTACTCCAATTATGTGGTAGCTGTTGTTAAAAACATACTTACCCTGCTTAATATTAACAGGTTGTTTCATCATCAGTATAGAGAAGTCTTGAGTAATTATAATGAGTGAACATAAAACATTATACATATAAAAATATGTCAGCAATAAAATAGTATAAATTAGATAATGACAAAGTACCAAAATATATGCATTCATATTTTTGTTATATACAAAAAAATGCATTTTAAAATTACAAAGTCTAAATTTAGCAATATGTAAAACATTATAACTTTTATATATTGTAACCTCAAGGATATGACAACATATCACAGAATATGTAACATGTAAGGTTTGCCGACTTCAAGGGGAGTACAATTTATCCTGCGTCAGAATGAGCCTAAGGGAAAACGTGTATGTGTGTGGTGGCGAAGGAGGCAAATGAAGAACAAGTGTTTTACAAGAGAAAACCCCATTTATTTGTTCAAATTCATGCTTACATCGATATTGGACAATTCCAAAATCTCAGTGTTCCTATGAAACGGTGAGAGTTCAGGTGATCGGTCGTAGCCTGGGCGGACGAGAAGGATTGCTGGACGATGCAGATGTTTGGTGTTAAGCTGCGGAGTCCTAGGTGATTGGCAGTAGCACAACACAATAGATAAAGCACAACTGTAGGTTTAATCCAGAGGAGACGCCTCTTTGACCTTGAAGTTCCAATTTTTATAGTTTTTCCCCCACTATTCACATTTCGAATTGGTCCCTCGTCCCATTCCTCACTTCCCGATTGGTCTCTCCTTTGTCTCCAGGTGCAAGATGAAACCTTTTCAGGTTGTGGGAAAGGTCCGATTTGAGGTGTCCATTTGATACCTCTTTGTCGACTCTGCTCCGTGACTGTTTATAAAACAATAACACCTGCACTCATAACTCAGGCCGTTGTTTACCATTTTTTTTGACGTCTAAGAATTTAATGATCATTTTCATCTTTCATATATCAAAAATTTCCCTTTTTTTGTTCAAAAAGGTTTATCTCACCCAACATTTTATAGACTCGCGAGTCAATGACCTACCTATTTATGAGCACTCGTGTTAGAGTTTGTCTTCCGCTAAGACCTTGACAGATAGTTTGACACATACTCAAACAGTTCAGAGTCTCGTTTACATCCTGTGTTGCGCAAGAATTTCACAGTTTACTCGAGTTTGAACTTCGTCTGGGAACCCACAAACATGATTAAATAGATATAAAATATTTATAATAAATTAGAATGTATCTAAAATATTTAATGATGACCTGTAAAGTAATTCAATGCTTGCAGAATGAATTATTACTAAAAGTGCTTAAATTTATCGACTCATTATTAATGACACAGGTCTGCAAAAAAAATTTTTTTCCCAGCTGCATGGGATATTTTTGCTGAATTATATGTTTTAAAGATCATAGATTCTAAAAATGACTTTCATAACATCCTATCAGGTATAGGTTTTTTGCAAAATAAAAACAAATATTTGATAAAAATGCTATTACAATGAACTATATTATATTTTCTTACAACTAATAAAAAAATTGTTTCTGATACTTATACTGTACACAATTTTAGGCCTACTCTTTTTTCTTATGACACCTTTTCTTCTCTTTGATACTTCTCTGAACTTGTTTCTGATTTCCTTCTCTGGTTTCTCGATTGAGCATCCAAGAGTACTCAGCTAACATAGTGACATCCCATTTTCCTTGGTAACATCTCTCGATATCAAGGACATCCTGGTAAAATCTTTCACCCTGTTCTTCACTGTAGGCTCCCAAGTTTTTGGAAAAATAGTCAATATGAGAGTCTTAAGCTCATCTTGCATCCTTGAGCTTCATACACTGCCAGCATGCATTATACAATAGTTTTGTAGTCAGGGTATATTCCCCAAAAACTTATGCACTACATTCTTGAAAGAGTCCCATACTTCTTTTTCCTTTTCTCCCATTGTTTCCAAAAAGAGAGGATCAGATAAAGGGGATGTTGACTTTTCACTATGTATTCACCACAAACATAAAGCTGTCGGGAGAAATTATACAACCTCTGCGAGCCATATTCCAAAAATAAAAATATAAGCACAGTAGCGTTCAAATGCCAGATATAAACTGAGTGTGACATTAGGTGGCCTAAGAGATACAGTAGAGCGTCGATTATCCGAAAGTCAATCATCTGAAAGAATTCCAGTCGGCAAATTTAAATTTTCGCCAGTGCTGTGGCGCTGCAATCTTTGGCTGTCTTGGGCTACTCAAATATTTTATGTTTTTGATACTAAATTAACTTCTGAAGTATAATTTTTTATTGTTTTTATATTTTTCAATATATTTATTTTGTTTGTACAAAATATAAAAATAATTTTTTATTAACGATACAATAGTCTTCACTAGGCTTAACATCGACAAAAATTCAACGTGAAGCGACATGCAGTACAGGACTTCATGGGA